TCTCCTCTCTTTTGGATTTTAAAATCTGAGTCTTTTTTCAACACAGTAGCTCAGCTTCCAAAGTAAGGATGGAGAGTGTCCTTACCTTTAGCATTCCCCTCCAGACACACAGCTGAGAACTATCTGTGAGAGATAACAGAATTTTCTCACTTCCACAGTGAGTGCTCTAGCACCCTTTTGATCATATAAATGAAGGATACATCTTTCTTCATCTGTATTCTGCAGAAATGATTTAAATGTCCTACTTTGTTTAAAATAATAATAATAATAATAATAATAATAATAATAATAATAATAATAATAATAAAAAGAAGAGCTTTGCAACTTATTACAGTATTTGAAAGACAGGTTTAAACTTGTCCTAGTTCTAAGCACCCACACACTGAATTTAAGTAGCTTCCTCCTTGGCATGTTGGCTGCTCTGGGTGCCATGTGAGACACCAGATTCTCTCCTTGGATTACAGCGCTGGGGGAAGTGCCAAGCACTGGTGTTTGTCTTTCTCTTCAGGGACTAGATTTTTATTGTTTGACTGAAAAATACAAGTGAAATCTTAGTCCTCCTGAGTTATGTGTATACTTAGCGGAGAGTAAACATCTCCTGTGCTTACCAAAGACCTGAACCGCCTGCAAAAAGATTCTGCATCTGTCCACTGAGAGCAGATGGCAGAGATGGCTCCATTGAATTACCAAAGTTAGATGGGATGAATTTAGGTTTCAGAGCTTATCAGTTAGGTATGAAAATAGTCATCTTCTAGTTTTCTATGTCTTTTTTTTTTTTTGGCTCTGATGCTAAGGATTAGATTCCATTGAAGACTGAAACATTTAAGTTTAGATGACTCTGTGTGATCTAGGTTTTAAGTTCCCATTATAGTCAGTCCAAGCTCTACTAAGCAGAGCTGAGATGGGGATACAGTTGATGCACAACCATCAGTGGTATTCACATGCCTGACCATAGTTTTCCCATGTAATTTTAGATGTTATGCTGCACTCTTTGGCCTCTAGCCACCACTCTACAAGGGCACAAGTCTTCCTGTCAGCCTTGCACAGATGTCTGGGATGCTCAAAGGCACTTCAGATAGCATTTGATAACTAAATCCTGCAAAATCAGGGCAACTAAATCCTGCTCTCAGTCTCTACTTTAAAGCAAGCTGAAGCACTCTCTGTTTCTGTTGACTATGTTGACAAAATTGCTATAGACTATAATGGAAGCTCAGACTCTTAGCTCACAGGTTGATAACTGTCTGCAGATGCTTCAGTGGAGATGTGTCTGGAACTGAATCCTATCAAAGGCTCAGATCACAAACAGGTGTCTAGCAAAACACCCTAAGCTTTCCAAAGCATCCACATTGGGCTGGCAGATATGATACTTGGCTGATGGAAAACCTGTACTCATCCAGGCTGGCAGCTGGAGGCCAGGTGGGATACCTTAAGACATCTCAGATGGTACTAGATTCCTACATATGGGTAGCAGAATTAAGCTGTCACTATGTTTGCTCCTGTTTTATATAAAGAGGTAAGAAAACTCACTTGCTCCGAAGATTTATATTTAATCAAAAATTTGAAAATAGAAAATACAATATAGGTAGAAGAATAGAAGACTGAATTTACCTTGCTAAGGCAATAGAGGAACATAATGTCCAGCTTGACGCTTAGAACGCAAAGCGATCTATACTTGAACACAGTTTATATGATATATAATATATTTAAGCTAAATACTTACTACTTAGCAGCAGCATTAGGTAGCAATATAAAAACCTGCAAGTCAAACACTAAGCATTTATTTGTTTCCACAAGTAATGGAATGAATGACTGAATGTATCATAAATGATGCAGTATTTCTACATTTAGAATAATATTTTCTTAGCATCTCTTTGCAGGACCTTGTCTCTGGAAATATTTATGAGTTGCAATTTTGCCTTTAAAGTTAATTTCCTGATGAAACTGGAAAGAAAATCTAGCAGAAAACACTGAAACATGCAACATATTAGACAGGAAGTGCAACCTATCGATATGTGCTGATAAAAAATCAAATCTTTTTCTTATCTAGAATATGAAAAAAAATGAGTTTAACTTCTAATTTGTTTGGGAGCCAAATTCTCTGAATTCTGCCATATCAGAATGCAGATGGCAGTTGATCTTCTTATCTGCTGCACCAGTCTGGTGCAGAGAATGAAAAAGAAATAGCAACTCTTCCTGCATTGGTATTTTTACACATGCTTTAATGCATAAACTGTAAATTGTGATATGTTACAAACCATTTGAAACTTCATAACTCTGAACGACCTGTTAAGAACTAATAAGTTAGGAATCTTCCGATGGCTCCATCAGAACATTTCCCACTCTATTATATGATGGTATAAAGCTCATTCCTGCAACTTTTACGTCTCTGAGAAACTATTACTCATACAAGACTACACTCTAAAAGAAGTGAAGGTGCTGGGTATCATAATTTCCATTTAAAATTACCCTAAATAGCTCCTTTAAAATTAAATTATTTTGGTAAGGAAGGTCAAAGTGTTCAGCTGCTCGAGCTCCAGCTCTGCAGCTCTGTCTAAAGTAAAGTTTTATACTTCAGCTAAGTCATGATTGTTCTGCTTTGTTTTTCATTTTAAGTACTTGAGCAAGTAGGAATGTACATAGAGACTAATGGCTGCAAAACAAGAAGCTGGTGCCAAGTACAGAACAGAAAAGGTAGCAGTCAGTGCATAGGTTTTCTGCATAGCTCTGATAATGCACATGAATCATGAAAAGAAACACCCTGCACATTCAGCTGCCGATTTCTTTAAGGCAGAGGCACTATTTATTTCCACCTATGTCAAAGTGCAAAGCATTTTTCTGATGAAGGCCACTGCTCCCTGAGAATTCATTATTTTGAACCAGGAGGTAAAATTGGAGCCATGAATTATCCTATTCTTATGTTTGAGTTAGAATATTTTAATGAAATCTTCCCAAAATAACAGTTGGGGCACAAAACTTAACAGTGAAAACCCTGGCTGAAAATCAGGGTTCTGTGATTGCTTTCAGTGAGGCCAAGTTTTGCTGTAACACTTTAGCCTCTCATCTGCCATCCTATTAAGATAGTGGCAGCTTTTTATGTCGCCTTCAGTGGACTTAGTGCACAGTTGCACGTTTGAACCTTGATACTGAAAAATGGGCTTGAGAGGCCATAAGATTAATTGTTTTTTTGAGTTTTTGACAAGCAAAGCACTCTAATTCTCTTTTCCACGCTTTCAGGCCTCACCATTTATTGATATTCTGCCAGGTGTTTGGTTAATTTTATATCAAAATAATAACTTCAAAGAGTCACGAGGCTCCTAGATCTTTTAAAAAAAGAATAAACTGAAACAGAAAAAGAGAAGAGTGAGCTATTTTCTCTGTCCACTGCCACCGGGCTCACTGCCCATTTCCTGTCTTTTATTTTTTAATTTGTTAATTCTAATGAAAATGTGTTTGCATTGCAAGTTTAGGAGGTCTTTGGCAACACAAAGTTTAGGACAATCTCATTTTTTTATGAAAATGAACAAAGAACACCCACTCACTCTAAGATTGTTCAGTGGATATTGTAAATGAATGAGACATTTATTTTTGTGCCAGCTCAACTACCAATGTCGACAAGATTTGCATACATTTTGGCAAGTGCACTGCCACAAGGTGGTAATAAAATAGGCCTTTTATGTTTGAATCTAATTTACTTTAGTTATACTCATTAAAAATGTGTTTTTCACAGGAAAGCGTTTTCTATAAGGGATATTTTGAGAACAGCAAGGTCACAGAAATGTTCACTGTATAGCTAGGATCAAGCGTTTTGCATTCAGAAAGAATAGGAGCACTTTTGGGAGGAGAAATTCCCATGTGCTATGAATTTCAGATACCTGATTATTTTAACACTATTAGGATTTATATTGCATGCTTAATTCTTATGCTTATTACTTGCTACCAACTGCATGTTTTTTTAGGTAAAACACAAAATGTGGGATTTAAAAAAAAAAAAAAAAAAGCAAGCCACTATGCATGTTTTACCCTCTCCAGTGACATTAGCCACTAAAGTCTACTCCTAGGACGATAAAAATGTGCTTTTACTCTGTGAGCTATTATTCAGGGTAAAGTCTTTTTCACAGGTAGCAGTGCTTGTATGGCTGAAGGTGTGAATCCAAACCAATTACCTTCAAACGTGTGGAAAACTGTGTGAGTGAAATGCTGCATGAGCAGTACTTTGATTTTAACAGGCTAGTACAAGCACATTTTATTATGGATTAGGAACGTGTTTGTGGGAAACAAACCAAAAAAAGCAACAAGAAGAACAGCATTTTTAAACTCTGTGTGTTTAATCAAACAGGTGCAAGCCTACGTACTGGCTAAGCCTGAATAAAAATATCCGTATAGTTTCCTATGAAGACACACTGCAGGATCAGGTTTATGGTTTTACTCTGTTTCTTAAAGTGCCTTCAGTTTGCTCCTGCTTATATCATCTTGATAAGATATTGGGCTGCTAATTCAAATAATGGGAAAGCAATGAAAAGAATCCTATCTGTCTTTTAGCTACTTGTCTCTTCACTGAAGAAAAACATGCAGAGGAGCTAGCTAGCTTCCCCACTATGGCAATACAGTGTATCTGTAATACAGAAGCCAGTTCCAAAGAATTTGTCATTTTTGTTCAGACATAATGAACAATGTCTCTTTGTCACAAATGAATTTCTGGGATACGTACCATTTTTGTAGTTTAATAATATTAAAGTAAATCAAAAAAAGGTGATTAACTGCAAGCCCTTGACAGGCTGAATTAATTTTTCATGAAACACAGCTATCATCTGTGCACAAGCAAATAATATTCTAAATTGAAAAAATAACTATATTGTACATTAATAGTGTATTAATTTGGGAAGTATTATGAGATGCCAGATAAAATAACCAGCACCCAGGCATTTCTGAAATATGTATTTCTTTTAACTAAAGTAATTCTTAGCTTTATAATTCAAATACTAGCAGAAAGAGAGAGTGAGTTATTATGAAAATATATAGCTTTAATTTGCAGACATATAAACACTTTTGGTACATTACAGACATATGATGCCAGAAATCAAAATAATCATTTTTAAGCATAACACTAATTTATCTTGTTTACACAGAGAAATTTGATGTAATCATCATACAAAAGATAGTTCTCAGCTCTTACAATGAAGTGAAAGTGATGCATCACTGATAAACCTGCTGCTTTGTTGCAGAGGATACAGCAAAAGAATAAATTATCAAGAAAATATGCCACCAGTCTTGGAAGTTAGATTCTGGATCTAATCCAAAATCAAAGCCAATGAAAAGGAGCCAGGAATGGTAGCCAAAAGACAGAAATAAGATCTTTCACATGAAATACCAATCCAGAAAGGAGCAATAGTCAGTATAAACTAAGTCTTATAATTCCTTATAATATGAAGTGATTTTTGTTTTCACCTGGCAGATCAAATTCAGAAGTATCACATGAAAAATCTATTACACAACCAAACTGATGGAGTACTACTGACAGATTGCTCAAAGTACAAAAAATATTATCACTCCTCTGACAACTAAAGATTTAGCCATCCTCTTGCTTCCCTGCATCTGGCCATGTTTATGAGGATGAGCATGGGGTTTTCTCTACATCTGCTGCAAGAAATATTAAATGTAATTTTCCATAAAAATGACCAGTGGACTGCTGGAGCAAATGATAATGTGGGTGAAATCTGTAGCAAATGAAAGATGATATGCCATAGCAGTTCAAATTCTCATTACATTATCTTGCACTCTTGCTCAACAGGAATTGCACTTCTTGTTAATGCCTTTTCTATCCTACTGTATAAGCTTTACTTGTGAGGTAATAAACATTCTGTTTATTTTACTAGTGCATTTTAACGTCCTTATTCTTTTACTTGTACATATTACTTGTACATAAACCAGGACAGACACTTCTTTTTTTTTTTTTGTGTAAATGTCTGTATGCCAATGTATATTTTATATTAAAACCAATATATTTAAAATATATTCTATGTTTATCTTATGGACAGAACCTCAAATAGTTTCCAGCTCAGGAGCAGCTGATGCCCTCTTGTGGCTAAAATAACTTTTTAAACTTGAGTTTAAAGAATTGTCTTACCTTCCTCTTTTTTATGATCATAGTCTGATTGATTTATGAAGGTTGCAAACGATGTCCATGTTTTAAAGATAGGGTGCTAGCTGTTAGTACTAAGGTTTCATAAAAAAGCTGTACACTGAATTTGAATTTAAAAAACTGTAAACCGCTATTTACAATTATAATATTATTAAGTTATAAATTATTGGTCCTTCACTGCAGCTTCTTCCAACACAACCCACAGCTAGGTGTTTCAGAGTTGTCCAGGGTTTGTTAGACATCGGTTTGGATTATCCGCAAGGAAATGTCAAATGTTAGAAATCTCCATTGGTTTCTTTTCCAACATGTGCAGGTTAATTCTTCCATTTAATGGGATTTGTACTTCCAAGTTTTCGTCTGTTCTGTGATGCTTTTTCCCTTTTCTTAGACAGATGTAAATGCCCATGCCAGTTACTAAGGTGATTGAACCCAAGCTTATTACTGACAGAGCTACTAGAGTAGGCATGCAGGATGCTGACTCCACTTTTTTATGTGCAGGCTCTATGGATATTTGTGGCTGCTTTTCTTCTATATTGATGTCAGGCTCCTTTCTTAACAAACTTTCGATATAGCTCTCATTGCTAACAGTGTCATTGACAAAGAGGTTCACCATGACAGTGGAATGGAGGGGTTCTGGGTAACCGTGATCACTAACTTTTACAAGCAACCGATAGAGGCCATAGTCATTTTGCATCAGTGACTCTTCCAAGGTGATGTTACCAGTTTTAGGATCAATCCGAAACGACTCCGGTCGAGGGCCTCTCCTTCCTATGATGCTGTAGGCTATGACTGCATTCATGCCAGTGTCCTTATCAACAGCATAGACCTCAGTGATGGGAGAGCCAGGAAGAGTAGAAGGAAGTACCAACAAATAAGACATATTAGATTGAGGAAACAAGACCAGAGGAGGGTTGTCATTTATGTCCAGAAGAAGAATAGTTATTTTTGCAGTAGAGGACAGGGCAGGATCACCACCATCAACTGCTTCAATCCACAGAACATAGGAGCTTTGCTGCTCCCTGTCAAGGGGGACTTTAGCTCTCAAAACCCCTTTGCCAGTATCTATGACAAAAATATCACTTCCGTTCACAACTGAAAGGGCAACCCATCCATTTTGCCCTGCGTCAGCATCTGTGACACTGATAACTCCAATTTCACCAAACCCTGGAAAATTTTCTGGTACGAAAAAGCTGAAATCCTTATTGATAAATCTTGGACTATTGTCATTTTTATCCAATACAGTGATGGCGACAGTTGCTATTGATTCTCTTGGAGGAAATCCAGAATCTACTGCTTTGACAGTATATCTATATTTCTCTTTTTCTTCTCTGTCCAGCTGGGTGGAAACTGTAAGAACTCCTGTGGTTTTATCTAAAGAAAAATAGGAAGGGGCATCAGGCCCTAAAAAATAGGACACTTCTCCTCTTTCTCCACTGTCAGCATCTGTAGCATGCAGTTTGGTCAAGAAAGCATTGGGAACATTGTTCTCCTCAATGGATAATTCTATTAGCTGGTGAGAGAAAACTGGTGAGTTGTCATTGTCATCCAGAACCTGTACTTTGATTATTTTGTTGACATGAAACCCTTCCGAGTTCCACGCGACTACTGATATTTCATACAGCTGCTGAGTCTCATAGTCCAAAGGCTTTGTGGTCTCTAATAAGTATTCATTGTTGTATGGCTTGTACGGTGACAGTCTGAAAGGCCCGTCACCATCCAAATAGCAATCAACTTTGTATTTTTCATCAGGGTCTTTGATGGTAAAAAATGCTATTGGTGTGTTGATAGGCTCCAGTTCCTTCAAGTACACCACCCCCTCCACTTCATTAGCTATGAAACGAGGGACAACTTCAGGTGGCCTCATCATGACTTTGATGATGGTCACTAGCACTGTGATCACTGCAGGGATACAACCAGGGCCATTGCCCAGTATGATCAGCCTGTGGAGCCTTGGAGTGTCCCCATCAACCTTACTGGAGAGTGTGATGACTCCTGTGCTTTCGTCCAGATGGAACAAGTCTCTGGATGCCTGGGGGACCTTCTGACTGTAGGAGTAGGTAATCTGGGCATTCGATCCGAGGTCCATGTCTATGGCGTGGACAGTGACCACGTGTGTCCCTAGGGTGGAATTCCCATAAACTGTGATGTTGACCTGAGAGTCATTGAACTGGGGGCAGTTGTCATTGATGTCGCTGATGCCAATGGTAAGGGTGGCACTGCCCACAAGCGGAGGGGTCCCCCCGTCCTCAGCAATGATGACTGTGACATACTCCTCCCTGGCCTCCCTGTCCAGAGCCCCCATGACGATCAAGTAAGGGGTCCTCTCCCCGCTTTCATTCTCCTCCACGTCCAGGGTGAAGACACCATAGTTATCTCGCAGGCGGTACGTCTGAACACTGTTGGTGCCCATGTCGGGGTCGAGGGCAGGATGCTCAATGGCCAGGCGGGTGTTCACAGGTGCGTTCTCGGGCACAGAAAGGCGGATGTGGGGCACAGGGAAGTGCGGTGCATTGTCGTTGACATCCCGGATAGCGATCTTCACCTTCACCAGGCGGAAGTACTCCTGTGGCAGCACCAGCACGTCCAGCAGCAGCAGACATGACTCAGGTGAGGGTGACGAGGAGGAGGAGGCAGCGGCTGG